TGCTGAACGTTTCCTTCGGACTACGCTTTCTTTTATACCAGGACCTTCTGTGTCATCACTGACCACTGCTATTGAAAAGAGTGCGTGTGTCGCATTCATTTCCTGTACACGCCCCTTCTTCTCCTTGTGGTAAAAATAAACCCAAAGGCCCGTATCCCAGGTGGACCGTGACGCGTGGACCCGTTCTTCATTGTCTGACTTTTAGAGATATGAAATTGGGTTTTCGGTCAACGCAGGATTCTGGAGGTCATGAAAGTGAAGACACAAATAGAAGTGAAGTGGAGGAATTAATAAGAGTCTTCAAATGCAATATGTGCTTCTGGAATGTTACAATTTTTTTTTCTGAAACTTCACAAAGAAGACAAACAGAGCATGTGCTTCCAGAAGTAGAGTCAGCTCCGGGATTGTTCCCTCCACCTGCGGTCGACCACGTCAACATCGTGATTGGATCTGAAGTGACACGCTGCTCATTCAAAGAGGATTCAAACCAGTGACCTTCTTCTTTCTTCACACACACACACACGCGTTTACTAACTAATAACGCAAACCATCTTCATCATCTTTTTGTTTGTGTGTGTGTGTGTGTGTGTGTGTGTGTTTGGGGGGACTCTGGGGACAGCTGATCACACACTGACTTAGACAAACTGCACAACCCCCACCCCAACCTGATTTGTTGCGTCACCCTCACTTGAGAGGGGCTCGGTCTTAGAGTCACTCCGACCTGAGTGAACAACACCCAGGGTCCCGACAGAACCCTGAAGACCTAGAGTCAGATCAGAACAACCACCAGGTACCGAGTCACTGGTAAGTTCTCTAAGTTGTTATTATGGGATGTACATGTCTGTACGGAGCTTCGACTGTGTTTTCTGTGACGACGATGGTGTCGATCGGTTACAGCTCACTTCAACGTTGTTAGTACTGTTCTTATGTTCGGTTTAATGCATTCGTTTGACTGAGTTCAGTCCCAGGTTGTCAGGTCTGGTCTTAGGTCAAGTCTCAGGTTTGGTCTCAGATTAATCCTCGCGTCTGGTCTCAGGTCAGATTTCAGATCAAGTCTCAGGTCTGATCTCAGATCAAGTCTCAGGTTTGATCTCAGATCAAGTCTCAGGTTTTGTCTCTGGTCTGCTCTTAGGTCAAGTCTCAAATCTGATCTCAGGCCAGTGACATATTTTCCTTCTGCTGATTATTTCATTAATAACCTCTGAATGTCCAGATTCCGCCGTGCGTCCACGTTGTCTCCGTACAGATCTGTGAAATTTCACTTCCCCCTGTGGGACAAATGAAACTCACTTACCATGGACCTGTTGACACATTCTCAGGACAACTGCCTCATTTTTGACAAACTAACAAAACATTGACATCCAGGTGAAAATCTCTGCTTTGTTCCCAGCTCTGACATCCTCCTGTCACATTCCCAGACAGAATTCCTGTGGAATTTGACCAAACGTCCAACGAAACTCCTCCTCTTCCTCAGTGATGGAGACAGGTTTTTTTTTACACCAACAGGTTTAGGCCCTGGTGTGGTTAAAGGAAAAGATAAAAAAAAAAAACCCACATGACTGGTTGAAACACTGCCACACGGTGGCCGATCTTGTTACTGCATGTGCCCTACACCGATTCGTTGGTTCGACCTACAGCTCTTCTGTATGGAGTTGTACTGTGTGTGTGTGTGTATGTGTGTGTGTGTGTGTCCTTGTTGGTGACGAAGTCGGAAACCCAGAACCAGACTAAGTGTTGTATGAAACCTTGACGTCCACAGACCTGAGGAACATGTGGTCTCAGATGATGGTTCAAGTCCAGGTCCAGGTCCTGCTCCTAGTCCTGGTCCTGTTCAGCTTCTCTCCACACGCCGCAGCCCTTCCAGTGGCGAGTCCAGAAGAAGACTGGAGAGACGTGGAGAACTACAACACGAACACAGACGTAGAGTGGGAGAACCTGGACCCCAACGTATTTGGAGTGGATTACGATTATGACGACTTGGATTCAGAGGTAGAGAATAAAAATGTCACCGGTGGTCTCAGTTCACCTGTGTCAATCCGGTCCTTCAGGCTGATCCTCCATCTTCAGTCCCTTTGCGTTTAAACTCACCCATCTTTGTCTCTCTCTCTCTCTCTCTCTCTCTATGGTGTCCATCAGGAAGAGAAAGAGATGAAGCTGGGGGTCGCGGCACCAACCACGCCCCCATCAGTCGCACCGTCCACAGCTGCCAACCTCGGGTCAGCTCCTGTGACCCTGGACTTTAAAGGATCTGGACTCTTTGGACCAGAAACAGGCCTGGGTAGGTCAAAGGTCGAGGTACAAATTCAGGTTAAAATCAGAAAAACGTCACATTTTACTGCATGTACAGTACTCGTAGATGTACTTCAGTGTGTACTCTGTGCAGGCATGCCCACCTGTATACTGTGTGTTTGTCTGCGTGGGAGTGTGTACTGTGACGACATGGCTCTGGACCAGATCCCACCCCTGCCCAAAGACACCAGCTATTTCTACGCCCGTTTCAACAGAATCCGACACGTGAAGAACACGGACTTCCTAAACCTCGGTGAGTCTCGTGACGACTCAAGACGTCGCAGATGTACACGTCGGCTGTACCTCACGTCGTCTTCTTCTTCTTCTTCTGTTCCAACAGAGAAACTCCGGTCCGTCGACCTGACTGGGAACCAGATCTCAGAGATGGACCGGGACGTGTTCAGCTCCCAGACGCAGCTGCTGCAGCTGCTGCTGGCCGGCAAAGACCCGCAGGCGGTACGCATTCTGAGATGAGGTGTATCCTAAACAGAAACACGGTGAAAAGTATCCAAATGATTGAGATGTTGTCTAAGTGACGCTCGGTTGGCGGGACTACTTCTTCTTCTGCCTGGCTGTGTGCGTCGTGCGTAAGCACAGGTGGCTCTACTACGTGCTCTCACTCAGTCACTATTGATGGGAATTTCGGCTCTTTTTTTTTAGAGAACCGGTTCTTTTGGCTCGGTTCACTGAAAAAATCCGACTCTTTCGGGTCCCAAATGGCTCCTCAGGTTATTTTTTGGTTGTTTGTTTTGTTTTACAAATAACATGTTTTCAGAGTTTGAAACTCTGCCTTGGATTCTTAAAGAAGCTATGATTTGAAATACACTTTTTTTTTTTATTTAAAAGACAAATGATAAAATATCAGTATCGATATCGGTATCGGCGATATCAGCCCGAATTTTACTCGGTATTGGATCGGAAAGGAAATTGGTGGTATCGAACATCACTAGTTCAAGGTAAACGACCGGGAGAACGGTGGTATTGGTTCTGCTTGGTGGGTGACGGCCCTAGTACTCCAGAGATGTACCGACCAGGGGGTTCTTAAATATTCTTTGTCACGCCCGCCCTTGGGGACAGAAATGTCTATTTTTTAAATCAAGGTTTTCCTCCTGCAGGACATGCAGCGGCTGGAGTTTCTGTATCTGTCCGGAAACAACCTGGATTATATTCCCACACCTCTGCCACTGAGCCTCAGAGTGCTACATCTGCAGGTACCACTGTACACACACACACGTACATTCACGGGTTCCATCTACACCTGTGGTTCCCAAATGTCTGCAGTGCCCCCTTTTGAAGGAGGGGGGTAGTACTGTGACCCCCCCACCCAAGTTGACATGTTCACAGCTATTGCTTCAAAACTATAATTTATCAAAAAAAAAAAAAAGGAAAAAGAACTCACAGATCACGAGGACCCCCAAGGAGGGGACCCGACCCTTACTTTGGGAACCACTGGTCTACATGGACAGAAAATTTCCAGTATTTTTGCAGGCAAAAAAATTGCATCTGTGGGTCACATGGTTGAAGAAGCAGGGCTCATGCCGGACAGCCAGAAGGTCAGTGGTTCGATGTCCAGCTTCCTGTGTGTCATGACCCTAAAAGATGAAGAGTTAGTAGATAAATGTATTTGTTTAAACTGTTTGGCAAAACATCTTCAACATCTATGTGTTTGTCTCTTTTAGACACAATAACAATAAAATATTTGTTTATTATAAAATATAAAAAAAGTATATTTGGATATTTTGTTAATAAAAACTAATCTCGCCTCTCCTCTCAGGACAACAACATCCAGTCTGTGCAGGAAGACACGTTCTGCGACCATGGCGACAGACACTTTCTCCGCAGGAACCTGGAGGACGTCCGCCTGGACGGAAACCCTCTGAACGTGGACCTGTTTGTCCAGATGTTTGTGTGTCTGCCACGTCTGCCTGTGGGGAGTCACTGGAAACAGTGACCAGACACTGCTAGGCTAGGCTACGGTCTTGGACAACACTTTAAATTGCATTAAAGCTGGAATTGGTCGAAGGCGATTGACTACAACAGGCATGGGCAAACTAAGGCCCGGGGGCCGGATGCGGCCCGTTCAGCTTTTTAATCCGGCCCGCCAAACTTTTACAAATTATATAATTTATGTATATTATCATTATACTTCTGCATTTTCCATGGAATACCCACGTTTCCCCCAGAGATGGCGTAGCATTTTAGCCTTTATGCATGACTTTTACATGTCATTTATCTTAGCTCACACGAACGCTCCATCTATCTGCTCCTGACCAGGCCCCCCTGACCAGGCCCCCCTGTTCAATTTTATCAATTTTGTCCACTAGGTGGCAGCAGATGGCTTTAAAATCCAAAAAAAGAGCGACAGACTGAGAGCATTTGACGAATACCTTTGTGTCCGTTTATTTATTTCATTTTGGTTTATCAGCGTAAACATGTTCTAAACGGAGTCAGTAAATTTTGACTGAATTAAAAGATCATTATATTCCACCGGGAGTCCATGGGCGTTTTTCTAATGTCAAACATGCAACGTGTCTCCACAAGGTCAGTCAACACTGGTTTTGAACTTTTTCGACTTTTTGGACTGGCGATGTCAGTGAAGACCAAAGTGAAATTTTTGGTGAATTTTAATCACACACCAAGTCAGACAGACTTGACAGAAGCCCCCGCCTACTTCCCCTACATCTGTGCTGCTAATGTCGCTCTGCTTTGCAGCGCTGTAAAGATTTAAGAATCTGTTGTTGTTTCTCGTCTTGGTTTTCCCGGTCAGTTTTTTTTTTAACCCCTGTCTTGAACCCGATTCTGGTCCTCCAGCACTGGTGAAGGAGTACTGAAATGACTTCCCTGATCCTCCACATCGTTACAGTTGTCTGTTTCCTGCGCTGCTGGATTCACTGCTCACAGTTTCAGTAATCTGAAAAAAAAAAAAAAAGGATAAAAACAAAATACTTTTTTTTGGTTTGTTTTTTCAATAGAATGTTTAAACACAATATAAACTAATATATGCTGTTTCTAATCAGACAACCTACACACACTAAAGCAGTACTTCTCAAATAGTGGGGCGGGTCCCCTGGGCGGCGCACGGTGAGGTGCCAGGGGGTCGTGAGGGGCTTCCAATAGGAATATAGCACGCTGGACATAAATGTACCACTGCTGTAATGCTTAAATGATAACAAGCCTCCAGTCCACTAGGTGGCAGCAACTCATACAGTGGTTTGTACAGATAAAAATATACGTGTTATCAGGTTCTCGATAGTATTTCAATTCGTGGTGGTGTGGGTCGGGGGGCTGGGGGTGGCGTGAAAACATTATAGACATAGACAACCACTGCACTAAAGTAATGGTATAAAGGTTAGCATCATACACATGGTCAGTGTTTAAAACGTGGTTAGCCTGAAACACACTGCATTAATTAAATAGTTGTTTTATGTATCATAATATATTTCGCTTAATAGTTAGCAATAAATAAGTGGTTAGCATTAGCTTCCAAATTTCTACCTGACCATTACGTCGCTTAATGACATGTAACACAACCAGCATTATGTCTATGTCATATGTTTTATATGGGGCAGTGGTGGCTTGATGGTTAAGGAAGTGGACTTGGGTCTGGAAGGTTTTCAGGTTCGAGTCCACCAGCTGCCAAGTTACCACTGAGGGCACCGTCCCCACACACTGCACCCCGGGCGCTTAAGCTTAAGCCCCCCCGACCTTGGTTATGGGTTAAAAGCAGAGGTCACATCTGACACTTTCGTGTCAAATAAGTCCAAATACAGATACAGTGAGTACTGAGACCGTGGACACACTCACGCTTGTGACTGTCTTCTCTGAGGGGACACAGTTATAGACCGTGGTTCGGATGCCCTTCTGCCATCCGTAGAGGACGTTGACTCGTGGCCCGGTTCTCGCCCTCGAAGAACGGGTCCGCGGGGTTTCCAAAGAGACTGCCCTGTCTCTGCGATGTAACACACGGGTAAAGTCAGGACCGTGGACCGCGGACTGGGACGAATATGTCAAAGAGTCAAAACTCTTTTACCCTAAAGATGACCTCCTCGTTGTTCTCATCAGTCCCTCGCTCCACGTCCTCGTCTGTCATCAGGTCTCCAGAGATGGCTCTGTGGAGCTCTGGTGCTGCCTCTTCCTCAATGTTCCTCAGCCCTGCCTGAAGAACGGAGATAAGACAGCGAGCGTCGGGAACCTGTGGAACTACAGCTCTTTCTTTGTGCATTTGAATCCCTCTGCAGCAGGACTGTGCAGCTGCCCACCTGTATTTCATGTGTGGCGCTCTTCTTGGTGGGTCTGTAGCCATAATATTCCTCCTGTCTTTTCTTTAATTTTCGGAAATAGTCCTGAATCAGGAATGTGGCATAAAACTTTCCCACAGTGACCTCGTCATCTGGAATGACACACACAACAAAATTTCAATTTAGAATAATAAAAATATAAAAAGTCAAAATATCAATGTCACATTTAACACATCATTGGAAGACCACCTCCGATGGGTGGGATCACTTGGTCCAGGAGTTTCATGCTGGTCCTCTTCCAGATCTTCTTAATTATGGCTCTCAGCTCCTCGTTAGCTTTCTCAAAGTTCCCTGAAGAACATCAGAGAAAACATCATGGAATTAAGTCAGTACAACAGTCACACTGTATTGTAGTACTTAAAGAAAACATCATGAAATAAGACAATACAACAGTCACACTGTATTGTAGTACTGTACCATGACTGCTGTTTTAAAACAAAGAAACCCAGCCGCACTACCACTGTTGGCCAGAGGGGCTCAGATGAACAACCTCCTGAACATCAGACCAACCTTCAGTCTTTATTTTCAGAG